TGGTTCAGTCGCTGACACATACTCCCTAAACCCTAAACCCTATTCCCTAAACCCTAAACCCTATTCCCTAAACCTAAACCCTAAACCCTATTCCCTAAACCCTAAACCCTATTCCCTAAACCCTATAAACCCTACTATAACCCTAAAAAACCCTACTATAAACCCTAAAAAACCCTAAACCCTAGCGCTAGCACTGCTTCCCGAACCTGGGCCATCTGCAGAGGCTCCCGTCTGCATTACCCCCGAAAAAGGCATATACCATAATTCCCATAGTTTCGGGTCCGTAAGGTAATGCAGGACCCCCTAAAACCCTAAAACTCCAAACCCCAGACCCTAAACCCTAAACCCTATAAGCCCTACATCCCAGCTCGGTGGACGAAGTCCTTGTCCTAAAGCCAGAGCTCCAGTCCCGAAGCGCTGCTTGAGCCCTAAGCTGGGTTCCTGTTAAGGGGTTTAGGGTTTAGGAGTGTAGGGGTTTAGGGGTTTAGGGTTTAGGGTTTAGGATTGAATTCAAGTTATCATAATAAGGAAACCATATGATTTACTATAGATCCCTATTATGGTAACTTAAAATAGCATCCCTTAACAAGAATCCAGTTCTCCCTACATGGGTGGTTCTCTAAATTAGGGTCCTGTTTTAGGGTCCGGACCCAAAAAAGGGACCCTAATTTAGAGAACTACCCACATGCGGAGTCAAAGACCTACTTTTTGGGCCGGTCGGGAGTCAGAACCTGCCATGTTTGCGCAGCTTGTGGGCTAGAACCCTAAAACCCTATGTAATTGGCAAAGAGCACTCCGAACAGATACTGGCACTTGACAATCCGTCACGACACCTTTTCCCCGGCATCGACAGACTGTGGAATGCATCTGTGGTCGCAGACCCCTTGAGAGGTCATGGCATTGGGGTTTTGCTCAATCCGGAACACAGCGAATCACACTGGTCCAAACTTCTTTTGAGCAAAACCCGTTCCCCATAGAAACGAACATAGGAATAAGCACTCTTGGCTGGCTTCGGTCCGATTCATTTCCAACTCTGTGAAACCTTGCTCATTGAGCGTCCACTGTCCCCGTGACATAACGAATCTGAGATAATTGCCACCGGCGTTCTTCGTCAGATTGTCGGAAATCATGTTTCGACCGTCGATCCATCGAACTGTGCCGGCTCCCTCGAGATCATGTTTAAGAATCGAGACATCGATGGCAGTGCGTTTGTCATCAACTTGGCTAAACGGACAAGTCTGTTTAGACAACGTGTCGTACAAAGACTTGGAATCGGTGACGGCTAGAAAAGGTATATTGCTTAGCTTTCTTTCCCAGTCCCGGTCCTTGACGGGGTCGTTCTGGGCCTCTGAAAAGAGAAACCGGTGCCACTGCAGGTTGCCCACGCCGGACACCAAAGCCTGCCACTCTGCCGCCAAGGTGTTCACCACCTTGCGCTTCAACTTGTAGCTTTTCCAGCTGGCCACGGTCACCTTAGCCCAGGGCTCGTACTGGAGGTCCTTGTCGTGATAGAGGATGATGTGGCCTCCCTGGCTGCTTAGCCGTCGGTTCTGTAGGAAGCCCTCGTGGATGTTGGCCTCCGTGGTAGATCCCTTGTCGAAGACCGTCTTTCCGATCCATGGTCCGGTCTCCATGAGCTTCACCTTGTTGGGGTGGACCCACTCGTCTTCATGTAGTTGAGCTGATGGTGGGTCTGTCTCCGGCTGCTCAGTTGGTGGATGTCTGGCCCATCATCGGTCATTCCTGGATGGAAGAGTGTGCGTCGTGGTCTCACATGGTACCGAATCCATTGGCTCTGGGTTTCGACCCAGTAGTCGGGGTCCTTGCCAGTCATGGGCTCCGCCGCGTTTCCCCAGGAAGCATCGGTCACGGTGCTTATTCGTAGGCGGTCGAGAGGAATCTTGGAAACCTTGATGCCCGCCGGGTACTTCATCGCTTCCGTAGCCAACTGGTTGGCTTGGATCAAATCCCTGACCCGAGGTCGGGGGAAGGCCTGTTGTAGAAGACATACTCTGCCGCATAAGTCTGGCCTGGTTTCCTTCGCCAGCCACGCCAAGCCACCAACCAGAGATCGGAGTTCTCCGATCTCCTTTTCGTTGCACATAGAATACCTCTGGCTGTTGCGAACTGGGGCGATTGGGATTGCTTCGATCTTCTCCTTCACGTAGTGGTCCTGCTCGATCAAGACGCCGCCGCATGGTAGTGGCTTGAAGTTCTTTCCCGTGAAACGTCCTTCACCGTATTGAAATTTCCCGAGCTTGTAGGTCTTGTTGAGGTACTCCATCTTCTCCTGGTGCCTTGCTCCTCCGCCGTGCAACATGTCATCCGTAGCCACGGAGATAATTCCCTCTAGGCTTTTCCACCCATTCTCCTTCAGATGCAGGGATCAACCACGCTTTGCGTATATCCAAGTTCCTGCGTCAGCACTCTTCGAAGATGTTGGAACCAGGCCATAGGTCCATCTAGGAGACCGCAACAGGTCTTCCTGAGTCGAAGGAGTTGTCCTCGTTGGAGTCCTGGGATTCCTTCGGGAGGTTGCTCGGCATAGAGCTCTCGACTGATCGGGTCACCCGAGTGAAAAGCCTGGGTGAAGTCCAGGAACCCTAGCCTCCATCCTTGTCCAACTATAATCTGGGTAACCGCGATGACTCCGTCCCGGGTGACTTGTGGGGTCGCCGCGTCCAGCTCCTCGGCCCCGTTCTCCGAGAATCCCTTCATAACATGCCGGACCTTCGCCTTGCAGGGTCCACCATGTTCACCTGCGAGAAGTAGCCCATCAGCTCTGGCCTTGTCGAGGTCGGACTCTTCTAACGGCTTGGCTGTCCTGACGAACCTGGAGTCCATGATACGTTCGGGCTTCTCGGCCCGGACCTTTTCGCTTTCCTCGGGCCCCAGGATCTCATAGGCCTGGGTCTCCAAGTTGTTCTTGATCTCCTTCTCAGCCGCGCGAATAAAACAGTCCAGGTCGTGCTTGTTGAGCTCCTTTAGTCTCACCTCCTTTCTCTGCCTCGTCTTCATCAGGGTCTCGAGCTTCGCGTAGTAGATCTCGAGCAGCTCTGTCCGGGACTTCTTTGTCGGTGGTCCCGGCGTCTCATCATCCGGAAGCTCCCCGTGAGGTCGGGTTCGGGGAAGTGATTCCCATGAACTCCGGCTGGGCTCTGGTCCGTCATCGGCTTCTCCGCCGGTTGTCCCTTCATCCCGGTCCTGCTGTGGCGGGATCATACGGTCTCCATAGGAGACATCTTCATCCGGATCGTCTCCATGTGGTCCGTCGCCTCGATCCTCTTCTCCCTGAACCTCTTCGTGGTACTCTGGAAGTGGGTCCTGGCTGAGGTCGAGGTACCCGCGCTTGGGAGTGGCCTCGAAGTCCTCCTTGGCGCGAGTCAATCCGGCTAGCCATCCAGATACAGTTAGCTGTTCTTCAGGACTAGCTGGTCTGACCCTCTCGGGGGAAGCCTTGACGATGCCTCCCTGGTAGCTCAGCCAGAGTGTTCCTGGCATGTCCAGAAGTACGACCCTGGCAGGTCCGCACCAGAGATCTGGCAGTTTCCTGCCTTTCTTGGAGTGCCCGATGCGGTAGAAGTAGACCATTTGTCCCACGTGGTACTCGATCTGTGGCCTAGGCCCCGCCGATAAAGCATTTCGAAGAGCTTGGTCACAGTCCGTCTCGAAGAAAGCCTTGGCCGCCGCTTTCCTCATAGCCATGGCCGCCTCGATGGTCCGGTCGCCTAGGTGGTCCGGTCGATGGGCCTCGTGGTCCTCGAGGTCGCTGCTCATTAGGCCACCAGGAAGACGGGGGTAGTAGCCGAACACTCGCTGTATGGGGGAAAAACCTCCCCGGTTAGCTAGGCGGTTCTTCATCATGATGACGTTGTCCACCAAGGCTTACCAAGTCTTGTGGGTGTCGCAGGAGACCTCGTTCATAGCTTTGCTTAAGATCACCTTGAACGTCTTCCCGTGTCGTTCCGTGACACCTCGCTGAAACGGTGATTCCAGACTGCTTGGCTCCATATGGATGCCCTCGTGGCTTATTCGGTTCCGGAAGGAACCCTTGAACTCCGGCCCTTGGTCCACGTAGACCTGCTTGGGAGGTCCAAACAGGCGTAGCCACTGCTGAAAAGCAATCCATATGGCTTCCGGGTTGGCGGTCTTCGCCGGAATGATCAGCTGGAAGTGGGACGACCAATCGATCACGTTGAGGGCCAAGGTCTTGCGGCCGTTGATATAAGGTAACCAAAGCGTGTCCAGCCCAACCACCTCGTTGAGACCGTACTCTCGGGGTGGTGCTGCACGTCGTTGAGGTCTAGTCTGGGCGAAGCGAGAACACACGCTGCACTTGAGGTTTCGGGCGATCTCAATGACCTCGTGGCTCGCCTTGGCACTCTTGAGGATCCTGATGAACCGGTCAGTGTTGGGATGACCCAGTCCTTCGTGAGCTCGGCGTACCAGTTGTTTTAGTGTCCTAGGTCTGGACCCCGGAAGTTCTTGTTCTTCATATTGTTCTGGTGGACCCCCTTCTGGTTCTTGATCTGGTACTTCTCCGTCGGCTTGTGCTGGTTCATGAAAATGACCCCCTTCTGGTTCTTGATCTGGTCTTTCTCCGTCGGCTTGTGCTGGTTCTCGTAGAAGACCCCCTTCTGGTTCTTGATCTGGTCCTTCTCCGTTGGCTTGTGCTGGTTCCATGTCCTCGTCCTCATTCGCATAGATTTCCTTGAGGTTCCCTCTTGGTACTCCTTGAGGTGTGATCTTCTCGTGAAGTTGTCTCTGAAGGAAGGACCTCGTCTCGCGATGTGTCTGATCGACCGCTCCAAGGTAGTACTGGTAGATCTGGCCCACGGTCGTCGCATACAGGGCGGCCGCCGCAGCTCCGATCAAGCGGTGCGCCATGCGTCGCTTCATCAGCCCATCAGGGCAGACTCCTTCAAATGCTGCCTGGGCCTCGTGATTGAACACAGACCAGCGGAAGTACTGATCTTTCGAATTTGTGTCTCGAAGCCCGGACGGGACGTCGGGCAACAAAAGAGCTGCGGTCACATGGAACTTCTGGCACTGCTGGGCAAATTCCTCGGCTTCTGAACTGTTCCAACCATCTGACTCGCACACAACTGCAAGCATGTCTGGTCTACATCTGCCTAATTCCTCTATCACCTGACATGAATGTTCACGGACATGCTTCTGACCTATCCAGGCAACACTCACTGTCCTAGCGGATGGCTCAACCGGTGCTTCTCCTAAAAGCATCTGACACTCATGAGTGGACATGCCGATCTCTCTTGAACTTTCTTTGCCGATCGGTCGGCGACGGCTTGGTGTAATCTGGATTCGGTGGCCTCGAATTGCGGGCACCCTGATAGTGCAGGAAGATTCAGCAGGCTGAACAAGTTTTGCCATCTTCGTTCGGCCTTCCGGAGTGCCTCTCGAATTTGCCGACGTTTCCGACGACATAGTGGGCGGCCACTGTCCTCAAGCTCATTCAAAAACTCATCGTACGGGCCGCTTCCTAGTACCGCTGGCGTCTCTCCTCCTTCCAGGCCTCGTAGTCGTCGCGGTCCGTGTCGAAGCCCTGGTTGTCTTCGCGGATCGTCTCCTGAGCCGGTGGGCGGCGGTATCGCTCCATCATCTTCTGGCAGAGGCGGCAACGCTTCATGACATAGTGCTGGTTCGTGCCCGAGTTGATCGTCCCGAACCGGTGTTCGCACTTGGCCTGAATCACCTGGCAAAGTAGTTCCCTCGGCGACGACTTCCCGCCTTCCTGAACTTGTTCTCGAATCATGCGGTGGGCCTCGTCGCCTAGCGGTTGTTCTTCCGGCCACGCAAAGAAGCGGCACTGGTGCTTGCCCGGCGGGTTGTAGCAGCGAAGAAACACCTTCTGGTAGTTCGGGCCGGACTTGAGGGTCACCTCGATCCCGGCGGCGTCGCCGCAGTGGCATAGGGGGATGTTCTTGAAGATCACCTGGGCCCCATTGGTCATGATCCGGTCCTGGAGGCTGCGGTCGACCAGCTTCTCGTTGATCACCTCCATGGCGGGCTCCACCAGTTCGTACCCTCCGGTACTCGAAGTTTCCGAGTCGCTGCTGGAGCGATGTCGGGCTCGACTGGCTCGGTTTAAAGACGCGGCTGGCCAAACAGGTACCGGTGGCGGTGGTCCTCGCGGCTGGCTCTGAGGACTTGCTGTTAGCCCGAACGAGTTGAGACTCGGTGGGCTCCCCGGAGCACTGGTATGCGGCGTCGTTGGTTGTGGGCTCGAAGGTGCTCCGCGTTCCCGGCGCCGATTCTTCAACACGGTGCCCAGCTCCTCGTGAACCTCGGTCAGGCAGCTGAGCGGGATCTCTTCCCAATTCTGTCGGAGCGTCCTCATCGCCTCCATTGGCCCCGGCCGACACAGATTTTGCATCATCCGCAAGACCGGACGAACGAAGATCAACAGCTTCACCACCATGTTTCCCCACAGGCGAACCCAAACCGGCGGCTGTGGCTGCGGCTCGGCTCGCGCTCGCTTCCCGCTGTTGCCCTCCATCGTGGCGATGCCGCGGAGGTAGGAAATCGGGAGAGGGTTGCTGTCCTTGAGCTGGAAGGGCTTCTTTACCGAGAGACAAAACTTCGAACTCACTTGCCCGCTGGTCCTGAAGATTACACTGGGCCTGGCACAGGTGCTTAATCATGTCCTTCGAGAAATTGTTCAAGGGGACACGAAGAGCACCGGACGGACCAAACGACAGGGGAACCCTAGCCTGAGTCCTAGAGAGATACACGAAAGGCTGCTCTTCATCGAGATGTAAAACCGCCTTGTAGTGTCGAAGGAATTTCAACGAGATAAGAAAAGGGGCATTTTTACTATGCTCGCCTTCGAAAACAGCGGGTTTCAAGTAACATCCCTTCTTACCTAGACCGCACGGCACGATGGCATTGTAGGTGGTCTGAGAAATCCCATGAACGGAGCGAAAACGGTTGGTTTCAGCTTGTTTGAACCATTTCAAACCTTCGGGCCAGTGTTTCATCATGTTCCGAAGAGTCTCGATTCCGACGGCGGTTCTCTGACATCCGGTGTCCATGGTGGCACAGGCATCATCGATCACAACAGATTCACTATACATCACCTCGAAAACCCTGGGGACAGTGTAATCCTGGCTTGGCTCTGACGGTCGTCCTGCCAGGTCGCTACCGTAGCCGATTGGCTCGTGCTCAAAAACTCTGCCTTCTACGTCCTCCGGATCAGGAAGGGCCTCCAAGTAGTGGCAGAACAGAGCGTCCTCCTCGTCCTCGATCTCCACTTCGAGGAAGTGGGCCGCCTTCTCGTTCGCCGGGTTGTCCGGGCACTCTCTCTTCCAGTGCCCGATCTTTCCACATCCTTTGCAACGTGTCCTTTTCTTGAGCTCGGAGATGCTCAAGCGGTAGATGCCGGGTCGAACTGGTCCTCCATGGGGATTTTGTCCGCGCTGTCCATAGCCCCGGGAGAGCTCCTTCTCTTTCCTCAGTTGATTCGACTGAACGAAAGTCTTCTTCTTCCGCTCCTTGAGCATCACCGACAGGATCTCGGCAGTCTCGGCCTCCTCCAAGGTGCCGGTGTCGTCGTAGTTCTCCGTCTCTGACCCTTCCAGGTCAGCCAAGAAAGCCTCCATCTCTTTGACCTCGTCCGGCTCCTCCTTATAGTCCCCGTCCTTGGCATCTTCCATAAGATGAGCGCTGCTAGTCGACGAGGCGGTAGTCGAGGTCCGGGTCTTGGTGCTTTGGCCGTCCGTGCCGAGCTGATTGGCCTGGAGCTTCGTCTAGTGCTTGCGCAACCAAGTGCGGATCTCCTTCGGCTCGATGGAACCATGCGTGTAGTTCAGCAAGGCCTTGATATCTCCCTCGGACAAGCCCAAGGCATTAATCAACAAGAAGCCCCTGTACACGCTCGGGAGGTCCACCTTGTGCTCCTTCACCTTCCGCTCGGCCGTCTCCCATCTCGCCAAGAACTGCCTGGCTGTCTCCTGACGTTGTCTTTTGAGGTGGTAGGTCAGGCGAGACAAGGCTGACAGCAAGTGCTCCTCCTGGTCGTCTCCGTAGTACTCCGGGCTGTTCATCTTATCCAGGAGCACCTCCGCATTGTTGGCGTCGTTGAGCCATGAGCTGTCTTTCGCCAAGTGCTTGAAGTCTTGGAAGGGCGTCTCGGCAAGGGCCTTGAGCAAGAGGGGTCCGCGAGTTCTGGGCCTTGCCTTCGTAGTACTACACCAGATCTTCGCCCTGATCAGGTAGTCCTCGAACGGAGAACTTGCCCCATCCCACCTCGGAGGTGGGCCTGCGTTCGTCCTGAACTGGTCATCTTCTCCTTCATCTTCGTCGTCTCGGCGAACTGTTCGCCGAGCTCCTCGCCGTGAACCACGTTCCCGGCGCCAGCGCTGTCTGTCAGAGCGTTCTTTGCCAAAACCACACACAAAACAACCACTAGGCCTCCGGAAACCCAACCGGAGGCTCCGCTACCACTGTAATTGGCAAAGAGCACTCCGAACAGATACTGGCACTTGACAATCCGTCACGACACCTTTTCCCCGGCACCGACAGACTGTGGAATGCATCTGTGGTCGCAGACCCCTTGAGAGGTCATGGCATTGGGGTTTTGCTCAATCCGGAACACAGCGAATCACACCCTAAACCCTAAACCCCTAAACCCCCAAATCCCCAAATCCCTAAACCCCTAAACCCCCAAATCCCTAAACTCCTAAACCCTAAACCCCCAAATCCCTAAATCCCTAAGACCCTAAACCAGGAAAGCCAGAACCTTACACCTCTTCACCCTCCACGCACCCCCCCTGCAGCCGAAACCCTGAACTCCAAGTTCCTAAACCCACTAAACCCGGAAAGCCTAAGGACTGCTTTGGGGTTTAGGGTTTTAGGGTTGAGGGTTTAGGGTTTAGGGCGAGTTTAGGGTTTAGCGGTTTTTTGGGGTTTAGGGTTTAGGGTTTAGGGCGAGTTTAGGGTTTAGCGGTTTTTTGGGGTTTGGGGGTTTAGGGTTTAGGGTTGAAGGTTTCTGTTGATGATATAGATCTTGCATTACCTTAAGGACCCTAAGCTATGGGAGTTATGGTATATTCCTTATTTTGGGGTAATGCAGGATTTATACCATCAGACATACTATAGGAACCTGATTAAGGAACCTTGCATCTTTACTAGGGTTCTTTACATGCATCCTAACATTTTTGGGCTTTTAGGACCCGGGTTTCTTAATCAGCTTCCTACACTAAACCCCTAAACTAGATCCCTAAAGCCTTAAGCCTAAACCCTCAAACACTTGAGACAGACCCGGGACATGCTCAGGCACTTCACCGGAGTCGTCAAATCCTACAATCCCGCCAAGGGCCCCTCGGTAGAGTTTAGGGTTTAGGGTCTCGGGCTTCGGGCTGAGGGTTTAGGGGTTGAGGGGTTAAGGAGTCGGCTTACTTTGCTTGGGATTTGCGGATGGTTTAGGGTTTAGGGGTCAGCTAGACTAGCCGTGGGGGTTGTATATGATGATTAGGTTCAGGGGTTTAGGGGTTTAGGGGTTTAGGGTTTAGGGATTAGGCCTTGGCGTCCTGAGTAGTACCCGTACCCTTTTGCCCCTCATTGTTGTATGGTCCCCTTATTAAGACTGAACAACAGGAACAACAAGGTCAGCCTTCCTATTCAGGGGTCACTCAGGATACTAATTTAGGAACCTGATTAAGAAACCCTGGCCCTATAACCCCAAAATATCAGGATTCATATAAAGAACCCGAATAAATAAGGACCCAAGGTTTCTTCACCAGGTTCCCATATTTGTTAGGTAGGTACTTGGACCAGTGGGGTGACTTAGCCAGAAGGGTAGCTTGGCGCTTTCTGATTGCCCCAAAACCCAAAACCCTAATCCCCAAACCCTAAACCCCGAACCCCCAAGCCCTAAACCCCAAACCCCAAACCCCCAAACCCTGAACCCCCAAACCCTGAACCCTAACCCAAAAAAACCCTGAGCCCTAATTTGCAGGGTTCAGAATTCCAGGTTTCGGGTTCTAGCTTGGTTATCGGAGCAGTGGGGGCCATGAGTGTTTGGCTTGTGGTCATTGTTTCTGTGGGAGGGTTTATAGGTTTATAGGATTTAGGGCTTATAGGTTTATAGGGTTTAGGGTTTATAGGGTTTAGGGTTTATAGGTTTATAGGGTTTAGCGTTTAGGGCACCGTTACCGGTTTACGGCACTGTGGTCGTCGAAGTTTCCGCCCCTGGACAGTTCGTGGCGGCCATCGTCCCGCTGACGCTAGCGCAGTACAAAGACCGGAGCTACTCCCCAATCGCAACGCACATAGAGTCCGAGCTGTTGTCTAGGACATTTTCAGGGTGGGTAGTTACCGTTATAGGAGCCTTACAGCCTTTTCGAATAGGAGCCGCATATACCCTAAACTCCCCACCTGTAGTTTCCTTTAACAGAGTCCGAGCTGTTGTGCCGAATAACAATCAAGGCGAAACATCGAGACAAGGATGGAACAAAAGCAGGCTAGGTTGGTGATCAAGGGGGCCTGGAAGGCGCAAACTGCTTGGCGATAAGTCGTGAAAGAGACGAACCCAGAGAGCCCAATACCCCTTAACTAAGAAATTCAAGCATAGTGTTAAGGCCCCTATAATTTCAGGGGTATATTCCTTCATTAAGGGGTGTTGGGCTCTCTGGGAACGACCTGGCTTCCCGCCGGTTTCCTGGCGGACGTGGAAGGCAAACTTGAGTGGCACCGTTGAACACCGGCCTTCAAGGTGTTGCCCAGAGAGCTCAATTAGGGTTTAAGGGGGTTTAAGGTTTAGGGTTTAAGGCAGCCCACAGAGCCCAACACCCATTAACTAAGTAATATATACCTTAAATTATAGGGGCCCTTAATATTATGATTATAAGGTATATTCCTTAATTTAGGGGTATTGGGCTTTCTGGGTGTTTGAGGAGGAGAGTAACTGGGGGGTTTCCGAAAGCAGGGGACCCTAACATACTACCCTAAATGGTAGGATCCTGAGTATAAGGACCCCAAAACCCCAAAATCCCTAAACCCTAAAACCCCCTATTTTCGGAAACTCCCAAATGTTCATGGTTGGGGACCCCAAGCTAAGGTGCCCCCTAGTCTCGGAAACTCCCATAGCTGTCCCAAAGAGGAGGACCAGGGAGGCTGGAAGACGGGAGGGTGTAAGTTGAGGGTCTAGGGTTTAGGGTTTAGAGTTTAGGGTTGCGGGGATTTGGGGTTTAGGGTTGTGGGGATTTAGGGTGTAGTTTTCGGGTCGAGGGTTAAAGATTGTGGATGCGATGTCTACGCCCCGCCCGGGAGGGGAATAAATTTGAATTTAATCCTTTTCTAAATTCGAAATCCTGCCTCATCCTAGGGTTCAAGGTTGCTTGAGGGCCTAATACAGCATAAAGGGTTGGAATGTTTAGGGATACTACGGTTTAGGGTTTAGGGTTCAGGGAATAATCCTGCTTTACCCATAATAAAATAAGGAATATACCTTAGTTCCCATAGTTTAGGGTCTTTGAGGCAATGCAGGATTTATATCATCAACAGTATTTCATAGGGTTGCCGAACTACTATATGTGTTAGAAGATATCTAAGCTATCACACTATACCCTAAACCCCACTGTTTTTGGTTCCCCAATGCCCAACCTCTAAACTTTTTGGGTTCTTATAATTTAGTAATAATCTGGAAGTGTAACCGTTTATTTCCCTGGCTTATTGGGGAAGTAAGTGTTGATGATATAAATCTGCATTACCTTAAGGAGCCTGAGTTATGGGAACTGTGGTAGATTCCTCTTGTTGTGGGCTGCAGTACCTTAAGGACTCTAAGCTATGGGAACTATGGTATACTCCTTCGCCTTATGGGTAATGCAGGATTTATATCATCAAGCCCTAAACCCTAAACCCTCAATCAACCCTAAACCCTAAACCCTACTCTGTGGCAATTTTGGTTTTTTTCCTTATTCTGGGTAATGCAGGGTTTATGTCATCAACCCAA